AAAATTTATTTAAAACCAAGAACAATTTTACACGATATTACAACACATGGTGCTTTATCGATCAGATCCCCATCAATCGATAGCTTATCACAAGCATCATTAATTACCCCATAGACGATCACGGGATATGTTAACAAATTTACAGTTCAACTTTATTGCTATCCTTCCTGCCCTTTTTGTCGTCCTTCTTTTTGTTTTCCTTCTCATTCTTCTTCTCTTGCCTCGTTCTCTCCTCTTTCCTCTTTTGTTCCTTTTTTTCCTGTTTATTTTTTTCCTCTTTCTTCTTTTCGCCATTCTTCTCTTCCTTGTTCCTTTCATCTTTCTTCTTTTCGTCTTCGCTTTCTTCCTTATCTTTCTCCTCCTTCACGTCCTTCTTCTGCTCCTTCTCCTTCTCCTTCTGCTTCTTCTGCTCTTTTTCCTTTTCTGCGTTCTGAAATAAATCGAAGTATTGAAAATCGTTAGCGTTTACCAAGTTATACAGAATCTTAAACAAAATCACGTAAAGATGATTTATACCTTAGCTTTCTCTTCTTCTAATTCTTTGAGCTTGTGCGGTGGAACTTTCAGCTTGTCGCCTTTTTTCAACTCAGGCACCTGACATAAAGAATTTCAGAGGAAAAAATCGATATTTTCCCACGATATGATATTAATTAGTTAAACCAACCACTGGCATATTCAATTCATATGTGTCATCAAATGAAAACTTATTTTACAATGGACAGTTAGCTTAGGAAATAAATGGTACTTTCGTTACACAAACCACATAGCCATAACATTGCATAGTTATGCTGTCATTTTTTCATCCCATTATGTTTCGCTAACTCCCCTAATACTCAGTACTTTCGTTAAAGGAATCAAATAACCCTGAAAGTTCCACCCATACCGCATTTTTCTCTTCGTTTTATCATGTCTTGTTAAGTTCATATAGGTGCTATCGCACTTGATGTGGTTCGCTCTCATTCTCACTAGATAAACTAACTCTTTCATGAAAATAAAAGGTCTAGTAAATTGAAAAGATTTTGACCTAAACAAAAAGTCGAAGTAGAGTTCTAGAAACTTGTTATGGCCAAAAGTAAGCGCATTGAGGATTACTGTGGTCAGATTCACCTTCATCTTTATAAGATGAAGCGTTAATAATAAATCGCACTGAATTGACCAATCCTTTAGAGATTCGTCATGCATTCGTGATTCCCGATTAAGCATCGTTGAGGTGATAAAAATAAATAAAAAAGCCTTCATTAAGCATCGTTTGGAGGTGATTGGATGCATATTTGGCCTTTACAATGACTCGCGGTGGCCTACCGATGTATCGAGCCAGTGCTGCTTTCCTTGCTGACAAGTCTGGCACCAACTCGCCGACCCCGGGGGATGGAGGGCTTGGTGGGCCATGGGCGTGGGGATCGATTCCACGTGTGTGTTACAAGGCACCTCCGAGTACTGCGCCACACGCATTGAGGTGATCGAATACATAATTTCCTGAGTATTTTCATCGTTCAAAATAAATTTGGTACCAATTTTCTACTCAGCTGGGATGAGGGGCCTAATCTTCCAGACGGCGAACGACTCTGTTTGTGTTTCAGGGTACTTCTAACATTCCAAACTTTCCCCTTGTCTATGAAATCCGCACTCGAATACTTGTTCCACGTCTTTATCGATGACACAGTTTCCTTTTGCCAGTTCAGAAGTCTCTTCCTTCCCTCGGAACATTAAAACAGTCGTGTTAAGCATTTCTCAGGTCCTTACTACAGGCAATCGCCTGTTGTTGAAGGTTTAGCACTGCGCTAATAGATTTAGGTCAACATAACTAAATCACCTAGCAGTCGCTTATTCCTAAAACCTTCCAAAAATTTCTAGAGCGCAGTACCAAATTTCTTCACAACTTAACTGATACTATCTGGAAAAAAAAAAGCATTCACGTGTACATATGTGCCGTTTTCTTCATATGAACTCCTCTCTTCTTTTTACTGTTTTTGCCGAGAATATGGCCATAGGTGCCTGACCAACTTACATCGTGGAATATTTTACTCATAATCGAGTTTTCGTATAGAAATATCTGATTCCTGTTTTCTGCCTAGATGGAGCTGAACCCACCTTCCTAATCTACATTTCACATTTCGACATCTAGGAACACTTTCAAGCTTCAATTAGACGGAAGATGACTAGAAGGAACGTATCCAAAAACTCACTTCGTTCTACAGCCAATAAATTTTATTTTGAAATCAATTCTTCAATTTCTACGACAGTTCGCACTTCGTTCACACATTGTGTTGTACAATTTGCAGCAATTTTTACAACAATTTTACTTTGTAACCTTCTTCTGAGAGGTTGTTTTTGGATATCGAACTACGACGTACAAAAGACTGTTCATCCTCCAGCAGAATTAACTAAACCAAGAAGAAGTTCCACATTTTAGAGAGAAGAATATCCCACACTCTTTAAAAAAAACGTACGTATCTACACAGTTTTTCCCCATCCCGCAAAGGTAATGGTAACTTCAATCATCTAGCGACATTACGTTCTTAGTTTAATGTCATTTATTTCTACAAATTGACGTAGTACCAGTTCGTTCCACGGATCTCCATCACGGGAGGGATCTCGAGCAGGTTGGCCGTTAGGCTACGCGACGCGTCCCGGTCCCCGGATAAGGTGTTAATTGCGGTCCAAAAGCGACCTTTGCTTCCCTGAGACGCAGGTAGATCCAAGATGGACCCCTGTTTCTTCTGCACCGATTTGACACATACTTTCTGCATTTACGAGGCGTATTCATGCACGCGTGTGTAGGTGCGTTCTAGTTCACGCGTATTGCATTCTATGAGTCAATTCGGCAAAAAGCCTGCAATCAAGTGACAGGGAAGTATAAGGGAGGAGGTTAGGAGTCACCTCCAACAAACCAGCTCCACGTACACTCTGGAAGAGCCTGGCAAGCTACCCATAAGTATACTCAGCTCCCACGTTCAGAACCCAGCAGGCTATACGTGGGTATCAGAAAGCTAAAAACAGTAAAAAAAAATTGGCCTCATTCGCCTGACCCCGAAAGAGCCCCTAATTTCGTATGTTGGGTAAAGCGAGTACGGAGATGCTGCTAAAATCTCCGGACCATTCTAAGCTGCCTAAACGGCAAAGAAATAATGTGACGATCTGTGCCTACAATGCACGCACACTTGCATTCGAGTCCTCCATAGAAAACTTGCTCACGCAAGCAAGAAGGATAAGGTACGACGTCATTGGCCTGGGCGAGACGAGACGACACCGCCCATTCAAAGACGTCAAGTGACACCTGAGAAGAACTGTTCCTCGGAACATGCGACAGCAGAGGAGTCGGCGGCGAATCGAAAGTTTTGCCAAACAGGTGTCGCTGTTTTCCCAAAATTCTACCGGGGATCACATTATCACCTCCTTCTTACAAGATTTCGTTTCACGCGGGAAGTGAAAAAGTTGCTAAATTCAGAAAACGAAGTCGCAAAACCCTCATAAACTGGTACTCATTCAGTTCAGTTCATTAGTCGCCTGTTGGAAAGATGCCGCTGTCGATAACATCGACGAAGAATACGATCGGCTCATTCAACAGCTTCACGTTAGCACTATAAAAGCTCAGTAACACAGCTTCTCCTTTCCGAAATCCGACATGCCATTTCGTCAGTGAAAAGTCGAACAGCACCAGGTCCAGACAGGATGAGACCAAAACACCTGAAGAGCCTTCCGCCAGTCCATCCAGTCCTTCCTTCCACAAGCACTGGCTTGGCTCTTCACACGTTACATGTATGAATGCAAGGTCCCTACTCAGTGGAAGACCGGCAAGACCGTGTTATTATTCAAGAACGGTGACCTACACGATATAGACAACTATCGTCCTGCTTACTGTCTGTAGTTTACAAACTTTTCACTTTCACTAAAGAGGATTGACAAAACATTTGATGAAGGGTAGCCATGTGGGTAAGCAGCGTTTCTAAACGGATTCAGTGCGACGCACCACATCCACACGATGAGACTCACTGAAATGTGGCGAAAGCACAAAAGACCCCTCTGTCTGAATTTCACCGATTTAAAGACGGTTTCGACTCCACTGAGATAGAAGCAGTCATTGAAGCCCTTGTTAGTTAGGGAGTCCCCACCCATAATATAAAGATTATTCGTGAGCTGTACAAAAATTTAGGCAAGACGATACCGTCTCGCCAAAATTATTTACCACCATCCTCGAAAATGTCATGCGAATATTCGAATGGGATAAAATGGAAATGGAAATCGATGGTCGGAAATTACACCATCTTCGCTTTACTGATGACATCGTCCTTATAACACCAAACATTAGCCATGCTGGCCGACTTTGATAAACCGTGTAGAAAAATTGGTGTTCGACTAAATCTCACAAAAACGATGTTCATGAAGAACGGATTGGTTTCGTATACCCCATTCACGCTCAACGGAACGAATATCTCCGTATGCTCCATGATGAAGTACTTAGCTCTAGAGCTGAGCAGAAGGAAACGAGCGGCTTGTGGAGCTTTCAAGAGCATCGAGGATGTAGTGAAGAGGAGAAAGAACACCCAACTCCGTGCCCACCTTTTCGACTCAACGGTACTTCCTGGCCTAACGTGTGCGTCAGAAACCTTGTCGCTGCGTAAGGAGGATGAAAGGTCACTGAGCGTTATCGAATGCGCGGTCGAAAGGACGATGCTCGGAGTGTCCCGTTTCACACAAGTAAGGGAAGGGATCCGAAGCTCCGACCTGCGTCAATGATCAAAATTCAAATATGCCGTTCTGTACGCCAAACAGTCGAAGATAGGGTGGACACATAATGTATAAATAACAACCGATGGAAAAGAGCCGTTAGTGACTGGATTCTGAGCCGATGTTCAGAGTTCTTCACGAGTCGCCTAGAAGAAAGATAGGATGCTCAATGTGAACCTCTAGAACGAGCAGAACCCACTGGGCTACTCTTGCACGCGACAGGGAAAAGTGGAATATTTACTGTCGCTCGAGTCACCCGGCGATCAACAGGACTACATGTGATACAGGTTATACCAGTTCGTTAGAGCGTTCCTCTCTAGTTTCTCTTGCATCAGATCTTTCCTCTTTTTTTCTTGAGAGATGTAACAAAGTAATCAGTTATGTAGTTACCTCGATCTCGTAGAATCGCAGCACATCCTTCATTGAGTTGAGGATATCGGCCGGTGACGAGTAATAGTATGCGTAGTTCTTGTACTCGGCTTTCTTATTCTTGAACTGTTCAAGAAGATCACCGTTTTTATCTACAAGCGTGATACATCGGTATTTCACACATTTCTTACATTATTTCCCCATACAATATTCCTCTTTACGAATGCATTTGTCATAAATCACAATACAATTAACGAACGATGTTGTTTTTTCCCTAATGAAACCCTGTAAGATTGATGTCTCTCTCTGTTGGTAAGCTTGCACAAGTTCGTTGCAAATATTTACTATAGCTAAGGTTTCGGCGGTTTCGCTTTCGTCAGAGCCACGGTGATTCGAGTCGATTGCAATCAGCGGTTGTTTCCTCTTATAATGTTGGTCTTCGCAGTCGTCGCATCGAGTCCAATTACGAATCAAAATAGATGTTGATATTGTTTTCATATTATGTGTCACCCAACATTAATCCGACCACTGCAGAATGGACTGTTACTACAAAAGCAGAAATCTGGGTTGGAAATCGACCAAGCGTCGTCGTGTACCCCGAGGAACTGCCAGGTGAGATTAGTTCACTTTAGCGCGGCTAGAGTCCTATTCAAAAGGCCGGTACTCCGTTATTGAGTGATGTAACCTCATTCGTGCGGTGCTCCACTCTACCAAATTCAACTCGATGTCACGACGATGACAAACACTAGGGTAACAAGAAGAAGTAGATGACGCAGACATTCGACTTGAATCATCGTGAGTATGATCAAGACAAATCTGACTCAACGTTACCGGCAACAAAGATTTGCAATAACCTTGTGTAAGCTTATCAATAAAGCGGGGTATTGGTTATCAATACCAAGGTTTCAACGGTAATCGGATTCAACATTACTGATCTGCTCTCAGTCTACATCCAAAAGATGTGGTAAGTATCATAAGGACACGAAAAGTATTAAATTCGGCTTCTACAACAACTTGAGTAATATTTCGAAGAAAGTTCTTTTTTTTAAGCAAATCTTCAAGCGGACTCTATTAGAACACTAACGAAGAGAAAGAAACCAGAAGAAAATAGCTTTCGAGAAATGCTGTTGAGAGATCAGCCAAGTACGTCCTATGGGCTTAAATCTCACCTAGAAACAAAAGTCGTGGAATATATTTTCCATCTGGCCGATATTCGTCTTCAAATGGCTCCTCGTCATCTTCAGTGTTCACCATTACAAAGTATTCGGAAAGCTTCTTAAATGCTTTACGTGCATTTGATTGTTGGAATGTCTTCTTTAGAGCTGAAAATGAGTTGAATAATTCTCAATAAGGAATGTCCGATAGAGTGTATGAATGAAGAAGCATTCTGATGGCGATGACAATGGGCATATACGAAAGTATGTATGATAACACTTTATTATCTCTATTTCCCAATAGTTTACCACCTCATCGAGGCTGAGAAGTGGTATCGAACTGTGGTATGGATCAGGTTGTTTTCCTCCTACCAGGACCCCAAGTGAGCCAAGAAGACGTCTGACATCTCTGTCCAGATGTCCAATTGGGAATAAATTTATGCCACTTTATGCCCCAGAGTTCCTTCTTTTTGCTCAGTTGGAGAGTAATAGCTTTGACGCGCCATAGATTGCTCACTACCCTTACAAAAATTATGAAAACTCGTGAGAAAAAAACCAGGATCTTCGTGGGTCACTTTGCCTCCGCCCTCAATTAAAAAGCCATGAACTAATCACAAGTAAGTATCAGACTATCTGGGTACGGTACATTCTCGGGAACACGATTGATCGCTTAAAGAAAGCAATGATCGCTTATTAATATATCAACTGTGTATCGCGGATTTGAAGGGACTTTTCTGAGCCTGCTGAAGTCACAGTAGATTCTTATCAGAAACTCCGAAAACCATTGCTAGAAATCGATAAACCCCTGGTGACCTCGATATATAGGCAGCCCGGACACAGCGACATTTCTTTCTTTAGTGAGAAGGAATGTTTCGGTTCCACTTGTTTTTAAAATCTTCCGTCTGAAAGATATTGTCATTTCGTACAATAACTGTGTTTATGTCGATATAACTGAAACAATGCCATATACCTTTACAAGCGTGACACCAAGTCTTGTGAATTAGAAGAAAAATTGGTTTATTAGTGTCTAGAGCTTTCTCGATCGCATTCTCCCACGGCACCCAGTCAATGTCCTCCCCAAATCCTGAAGCACTTTTTCGGCTACTGTGAATGAGAATGACCTCAGAAAAGAAAAGAAGAAAAGAAAAAAAGGAAAAGAACAGAATAGAATTGTTGTCGATGTTGTGCAAAATACCGTGTGACAATGGATTTGAGTAAATCTCTTGGACTTGCTCGAATTTACTGGCATCAATAGCCAGAGTGAACAAAATAACACTAGCTGTTATGCTCGTCAGAGGAATTAATGACCTCATCCTGGAAAATGAAAATGCAAAAGAGAAGCAGCAAGGGAAAAAAAGAAAAATAAAAAAGCGAAAGTTAGGTTTTAAGAACTTGTTGAAAACCAAGCACCTATCGTATGGGCCAATAAAAGAAACCTTGCCAGACAATATTTTTGAGCAAAGAAGGATGAAAAAACAACGAAATATCGAGCAGTCGCGGAATTTCTCGAGATGTCCGTGGTTTGCTCTTTTTGTCACAAAAGAAACGTTTTTTAATGGAATAGATTGAGCAACATTTTAACGGCGAGATGAAGGCACGAAGATCGATCGAGTTGTGGAGCACCGACAAATCAAACATTCACTTGAGCAGAAATATTGATAGTCGTTGAAGAGATTCTGCTGAGGTATCCGGAGTATCGGATGGAGATTCCGACTGATCGACATCAACTTTCGAGTACAACTAATCGAAAAGTAGACGTACAAATGTGATCGGTGTACTCGTAGACGACCTTGAGCACACGGAGTGTCCCCGTCGAAACCCGGTCAGCGCGTCTCAACGAATGGGTAGCCGCGTTTTCTGGATTTCACTAGATTCTATACACTCTCTTCCGTCTGTGTTCGTTGTTCATTTGAGTCAAGATCTCGTGGTTGTAATCCGAGACAAAAAGAAGAGAGAAACTTAGCCCATTATTAGGGATCGAGTCAATAAAACTGTGAAAAATGTCAAGATGCTTTATTTAGGACTTATCTGGAAAACGCAGAGATCGATGTAGGCGAGGAGTTAACATTGATCAAAGTCCCGCCTTATAAAAACCGAAGCAGTATCTCAATAAGGAGGAATTCAAAGCTAAAACCACTTGTTTCTTCACCTTAACTACAATCGATGGCTTTATTTACTTAGGTTCTTGAAAAATTACTCCATTGATCATTGTTAGCTAAAGTCTTTGGCATATGACGACCCATGGACAGAACCATCTATCCAGAATAGCTGTATTTTTCCGGAAATCTAAAAGAGATTTCTGAAAGAAATCTTTGTGGTAAGGTAAGGACCACAATAAGGTTCAGTTTGAGAATCTCTAAACAAAGATCGCTACCAGATTGCTTCAAGATTGACCAAGTAAGTATCGTGAAGTGGAAAAACTGGAAGAAACCGATTTTCAATGCATACGGTTAGCTTAATTTCGGGTTTGTTCTCAATTTTCCTCTTCATTTTGTATCCCTCTAGATAAAAAGGCAGTATCGATGCAACATCATCTGTCCGGATGACCACAAGTAGCATCGATGTTAACTCGTATATCAGTTCTGTCCAGTCCTTCAATTTCGTTAATCATCAAGTTATTCAAGTTGAAACCAATAAACTCTCCATTCGTCCTTTTGCTTACCAGCTTCGTTAGTGGGCTTAACTGGCCTGCTGAACATAGTGAGCGCTACACCTTTTCTATGCTATACTGCCTTTTTTCTCTGCTGTTTTTGATGTGAAGGTTCATTAAGGATAGCTCGGAGTTTCCTGCCATTGTTTTACTTCTAATTAGGTCGACGGAAATAAAGAAATCCTTCACGGCTTTGGTGACCCAAATTTGTGCATGAATCCCACGGTGCGCTGCAGTTCGACACCCGATCGTGGCTCTAAAGCATTTGAAGTCACAAAAGTCTATGCCTGCCGGTGGCTAAGAAGTAGGAAAGTCCTAGTAGAGCTGTTCTAGGATTCCAGGCAGGATGAACTCAATCAGAATTTAACAACATTTATGAAGAGAACAGTTCTCAGTTGCTATCCGATCCCACAAGCGAATCTCGAGACAACAGATGGTGGATACGAGACAACAAAGGGAATGGAAGAAGTACTGGGATCCGCACAATATGTGAGAACGGGTACTACATTTTATTTCGATTCAGTAAAAAGCCGACTTACGAGCCTACCAAGGATTAATAACAGTTCAAGCTAGAATTGAGCACATTAAATGGATCCGGTAATTGCCCTCTTCCAGAACTTCTTGGACTTGTAAGGTTCAAGCAATTCGCGAAACAACACCATATAAATTCAATACGAAATCTACAGGTTCTAAAACTCTTACTAGTAAACGGAATGGTACCTAGTTAATGCAAGTTATGTCACTCGTTCAGGAAATCAGATGATATCGACGATTTGACTAGAAGATGCTCCATTAGGACGGAAGGTAGCTGTCTTTATATGTTGAGAAGATGGGCACAGTTCGAACCGGTTCTTCGCGACGTGTCCGTCAGCAAGTGGTCATATTGAAACATCGGTACGAAAACTGCTAGAGAAAATCGGTGTGCTTATCCTATTGCCCACAAACATGAACTCCACAAAGTAAATGGTGAAGCACCGGCGGTGACGAACACCATTTCCCATGAGCTCACCATTGCCACTAGTTAGGTAACTAGATAGTCGTACATAACACAAGAAATATAAGGCGCCTATATTTGTATTAGAAGGCACTATTCGCTCTTATGTAGGCTTCATCACCACACTGTACAAGAGATCCAAGCTGAATCGAAAAATCTTCGCCTTTTCAGGAATCAAGATAGATAGATTTCGACCAAAACTAAACAACCTGGTGATCTAAGTGCATTCGAAGGCTAATACTTCTTTTTTCGGCATTACTTTATTTCAGATCTCAAATCCGAAAACTTACGCACAAAAATATACAGTGAAATCAGTAAAGTGTTCCAAGTCTTCAACAGGACTAACATGATATTTAACTAAAACATTAACGAGCTTGAGATTTGGTCATGTTTATAATCCCAGTACCAATGAAAGCTCATAAGCTAGAAGTGATATCAAATCCAATACAAATTCAAAACCAAAAAAGCAATGTGAAAGATCTTTCCAGCGGTAAAATTACGCGTAATCTGACCAGTAAATCACCTAATGGTTGCGCCTAATTCTAAACGGCACGGCTACATATTTCGGTGGAAAAGATTCCTTCCGTTCTTGTTCCTGACGTACACCTCCTTTATGAGACCGCGGCGACGTTGTTCGGATTCCGACGGAAACCCAACCTAGAAGTGAAATTGTTCCCTGTCATGAATACATACAGGAAAAACACTAAGAAAATGAATTAATCTTTGCATTCCACGAACTTTCCCAATGTAAGGGAGTTGTAACCGGTTTCACGAAAGTGGTGTCTCACCAAATAGCCGATAAAGAATTAAATGTGTACTAAAGTTGACCGTTTGCTTGCCCTGAGATGAATATGCAATAAGGGAATGGGATCTTCATATCTGTTACGTCGGATTTACTTGTACCTTCTACATGCATCGAATCAAATCATACATATTTGTCTGCATGCGTGCTTGCCAATGGTATCCTATTATTAAAATCAGAAAAAGCTTGTCGACTAACTTCACGACTTGTTGAATACAATTGGTACAAGGTGGAAATCCTCCCAACAGTTTATCACCTCACCGAGGCTGGGAGGTGTTCATGGGGGTCGCTGAGATGTATGATGGGGGATTCATCCTCCAGTAGGGCCCCTCAAACTAAGAACGAGTCTACCGTTCCCACCAGGAAGCCCAGCTAGGAATAGTAAAGCAATACCAGGATCCACCACTGTCCTGGTATCAAACTAGTCGCGTGGTGGCAAATCTTCCTCCTATCCACAAGGGCGCCAACTGCCTGTAGTGGTGACGATCTAGAGTAGACTTTCGCTTGGCTGACCTCGGAGCTCCAGGGAACCACAGTAGCTAAACCAGCAAAAGTCCGAAAAAGTTGAAATTATGCTGGGGTCCGAACAACTAGTGAAGGCGGGCCATCCAAGCATCCAAGCAAGTACATGGTGGAAATAACTGAAAACCGCACTGACAAAAACACTGCAAATTGGAGCAAGATCCCTTCATTTCAAATATTTCAGATGACTTTTACTCACCTCCCAGTAGTTTTCTGGTGTACTAGGCATACGCTGAGCCGCAACTCGCACTCGACTTACCTGGAACGACACACATTACGCAGAACACAATGAGATCGACTGCTTCTACGAACTTTACACACCGCTATAAGCTCTTTGGACAGTCCACATACCTCAGGCAGATACACTTCTCTTATTGAAAAGAAATACCTTGTTAATACGTCGTTCCTTAGATTCAGGACTCAATTCAAGAGCATCGAAGTAAGCCTTCGATGCTGCACAAGCGACCCCTTGCAGTTTTGATCGATCAACCTTCCTTCGTATAACGGCGCAACCAATAATCGATGTTTTACTTTTTTTCTAAAAATAAAAAATGTGAGACAATCAGTTTCTTCAGAACGTACGAACATACACCAAATATCAACACAAACAAATACCATGTTTCTCGTGACGAACCTCGGAAAGATCGAGATCGATGTCAGGGACAATAGTGAGAGACTTTTCATCCCTCCTCGTAATCTCTTTCATTATTTGCTGACGTTCTACCAACTTCTTAGCGATGTTACTCAAGTGCCTGCTGGTCCAAGGATCGGATTTCACCTTCTAAGGAATAAAACTACTGCGATGTGGGTATTCATCGCCGACGATGAGTATATCAATCAATGGTACTGACTCTGATGCATTTATTAGATTCTTCATTCTTCCTGGCAGAATGAACATAATCACTAACTATGAGCGACTTCTTTATCAGCGCAGTGTTCGAAATATCCTGCAATGCTTCAGATAACTAATGTAAAACTAATTGAATTTTAAAAAATGGTAAGAACAGCTCTACTAGCACAAGAATTCGACAGCAGACCTAGACCCAGAGTTAATCAATAGAAGAAAAAAATATGAGAAAAAGTAGGAAACTAAAGCAGTACCTAGGAAATTGATGGTGATATGAATAATAGCATTACCAGACTACAGAATCCCTTTAGAAAGCTATTGGAATTTTATCATCCGGACATTCATCACCATGTATGCAAGACAAAACAGAGAATGATTCATTACTAGACACACTGACATCCTAAAGAACAGATTCCTGCCTGATTGACAGTGCAATACAACTGCCTATACTAAGCAATGAAGGGGCGCGTATAGTGCAGTGGTCAGAGACGCCCCGTAATACACATGAGATCAATGCCCGCCCCCAATGCTCACCAAACCTTCCATCACTCTGGGGTCGGCAAATTTATACCAGACTTGTGTGGGAGTACAATAACACTTGCTCGATAGATCAGTGCTCGATAGATCTACCGCGACTCATTGTCAAGGGTATATATGTATTCAGTCACTTCTAACGATGCATGATGAAGTCGAGTGCACGGCACATCCCTCGGGGAGAGATCTACGGCGAGAACTTTATCCTCTTTTCATACCAAAAAATGAAACACCTACACCGTTCTTAGTGGGTGAAGTGATGTGACTTTTACGAAGAGAATTTATTACTGAAGATGAACACTGAACGTCACCGTCACAACCAACACTTCTTTTGCTACTTCCATTGTCTGATCCTAAATAACCATTAACAGAAATGTAAAAACATTTAGCACAAAAGAGGCAAATATACCATAGCCAATAAGAAATAACTAGAAATAAACACGAACTTACTACCATGCACACTTGAGTGAGTGTTCCAGGTTGTACTATTCTTCTTATCTGTGTCTTTCCTAGAACAACTTTCAGAATCAGAATCCGAAGAAAATACGTCATCCGATTCAGGACGAGTACCAACACTTCCATCATCATCTGCTGTTGAGTTGAACAGATCCAAGGACACTTCTTCTTCAGTGTCCGATACCGTAATGATTTCATGGAAATGGCAAGACATCATAAGTCCTCTAAAGTAGTGGTGAAATTGACTAAGCAATTAGACCATTAAGAAAGAGTCAGAATTCTTAGAGAGGGTGTGCAAGAAAGAGGAGGTGTGTGAGTGTGAAGTGTGCGGTGAAAGCGGTGAGCGTGCAAAGCTGTGTTCAAAGTGATTGAAATCTTGGTTTGGGGTTTCTTTGTTTGGTTATGGAGGCGTCTGGCCGAGTGAGTTGCTATCAACTTGACCTTTCCAGGCTCTGAAGAAGGCGAAATTCGCCGAAACGTCAGCTTAATCATGAACAAAGAACAATAACACCTCGTGTTTGCTCAAAAAAATACGAACAAAATCACTTGATCAATGCCGAGGTTAATAGAAAGTCGGTCGTGGCAGAATTCTTAGAGTTTCAGGCAATAATTGAAAACCAGCCAAGTCATGGTGCTGCTGAGTAACACTGAAGGCCCATACGAATACTTCACACAGGTGTTCCAGTATTGTAAACCACCTTTCTCACACTATGCCGTGTAGTATTACCTAGTAGTATTTACTGCTCATGACTTGATTATGTGGCAAAACTCGGAACAAAAAACCAAGACAGTGAGTAAACGACCTTCAATGACAGGACAGAAGATGATCCCATGAAAACGAACGGATTTATCGCGGTCGGTAGAAATGGACGTAATCCAGGACTGTGCAGTATTGCGTCAACTATCGTTAGACTCATTTCTTCTCGTCATGATAATGAGTCACATCGTCCATTTTCACTGTGAACGTAATTCCGTTAGTAGTTCTGCTCTATATCTGTTTTACTGTTTCTTCTTCATCTATGTAGTAGTGAAAACTATATTTAAAAGCCAACTTCATCTTTTTTGTTGTCAAACTATCTCGATTTCAATATTCGCTTCACCAAAGTCAACGTCTCCCTAACGGTTTACCGCTTTATCGTAGGTAGGAGGTGTTCTTGGATGTCGGGCTGCGATGTACAGCGGGGGATTCATTCCCCCACCAGCAGGGTCTCCCAAGCTAAGAAGGAGTTCGGCGTTCCCATCAAGAAATCCAGCTAAGATTAAAGCAATACCAGGATTCATCAGCGTCGTGGTATCAAAATCGCATGGTGGCGAATCTCCCACTGATCCACAAAGGCTGCGACTGCCTGTGGTGGTGAAGAACTGGGGCAGAATTTGGCCAGGCTGATTTCGGGGTTCCAGGGAACCACAATGGCTAAACCAGCAAAACCCCAAAAAAATTGAAATTATGCTGGTGCCCACACAACTAGTGAAGACGGCCATCAAAATACCCAAGTAACTAAGAAAGTCAGCATACGAGGAGATAACTAGGTTTTTTTTATGAGCAGCAGGTATCGAACCATCGTAATAACGTCATTAAAGAAACTAAGCTACTTAAACATTGAGGAAAACGAACTAATTGGACAAAAGAAAACACCCTAAGGTGTTGTTCACTGGTGCACAATCAATATGTTGAGGTTGACTGGTTTGTACTTGTAAGATCTGTTTGTTCGGGAAGCGTAAATCATTTGGTTGTTCTTTAGTAGCATTCTACGTGGATAGAGTGGTTCGTTCAGCATCTCGTGTGTTAGGCAAGAGGTCGGATTTTTTTTTCCTAAACTTTGCTTCTTCTTTGCAGCTTATAAATGAGCATAAACCATGCTGGAGTCAGGTAGGAGATTATTTCCATCTGAGTAAGACCAGTTAGAAGACTGTTTATCTAAGTGGGGTCAATTAGAAGACTATGCCTATGATACCTACTTGATACCTAAACGGCCCGTCCTCACTGATTGTGCGGGTTCCAGCAGAATCTCCGTTTTTCGGAGATTTGCTGGTTAAGCTAATGTGGTTCCCTGGAATCCCGAGGTCAGCCTGGCCAAAGTGTGCCTCAGGTTTCACCACCACAGACAGTCGCGACCTTTGTGAATCAGAGGAACATTTGCCACCATGCGACTTTGATACCAGGACGGTGGTGAATCCCGGCACTGGTTTAGTCTTAGCTAAGCTTCCTGATGGAAACGCCTGACCCCTTTTCAGCTTCGGCGACCCTGCGGGAAGATGAATCCCCGCTCTATACATCGCAGTTCGACACCCAGGAACACTTCCCAGCCACGACAAGACGGTAAACCGTTAGGAGGTGTCTATCTAAATAAGGCATCGAATTCTGCAACCACTGATCGCCGCCTACTTCCCACAATTTTGCACAAAAATTGAAAGCAACCGGACTACAAAGCTAGTGTTAGTGGTTATTTGTATGGTATGGTTGTGTGGTCCCCTTATCTTACCAAGTTTCATCCGTTCCTCGGAACAGGTAGGACCTGGTTTTGCAGCACCGCAAATTTTCCAAAGATTTCAATTTTTCAGCTGGCTAGGGTGATCAGTTACCCATTATAGAGATCCTTCAGTAGCAAATACGAAATTGCTTTATTCCCATGTCATATGTTTTGTGGCGTTTGTCATCTCACCGTGGGAACACGGTTAGAACGGAATCTTTAACAAATGACAAACCAACATTTGAAACATGGAAAACCTGAAAGTGATTCACTAAACATCTTGAGGAGATGACTTCTATGTATATTGGTCCCGTATTCGCTTTGTTACATCGTCATCGAACAGTCGGTTCGTCGACTAATCGCCTGAATGACTGCTATCTTGGAAGACTCGTTATTGCAAGGCTGCAAACCTCCTTCCGTCGCGCACCAATCTTCCATGGAAAAAACGTATGTTAAACAAGGAAACGAATGGAAGTGGTGAGGGCAGCAAACCACAAACATCTCCCGTCCATATATATCCCGTATGCAGCCTATAAATATATATATATATATGTATATATATATATATGTGTATCGTTGGGTATATTCCACACACGCGGGCTTATCTGTCTATGCATGTCTACCCACGCGTGTCTGTGCGTGTCGCTCACTCTCGCTGTCTGTCCCTGCCTTCCTATGCGTGTGTGTCGCTCGCTCTCGCTGTCTGTCTCTGCCTTCCTATGCGTGTGTGCCCGATATCAGTGTGTCGCTGTGTCTGTTCGTGCTGCCAGCAAGTGCTAATTCTTCAACTAAACAAGCTTGTCAGTCGATTGTTGAAAAAGCAGGTATTTTATCGATTATTCCTATTAGCATACTGTACTCCGAGACAAAACGGAAAGTTGCGTGGTCGAATCTACCAAATTGAGCTGAGTTGGAGTGCTGGATGTTAGTAGTGAGTCCGATTTCCTCCAAATGCGTGCGTGTTGCGTCTGCGGTCACTCCGTGCTAGACATCGGTATCGACCCATTCGCGTCGTCGTAGTCCACGGGGGTTCTCGTGTCAGCTCCATTCTCATTTTCAGTGCCAGGTCGTTTCTATTTGATAGTGATTTGAATGCTAGAATGGTTCGAGAGTTTGTGAAAATGCCGTTTATTAGTGAGATATGTTGCGTGTTTGTTTCTATCACGAGCATCGTCTTCGCCGTCTAAGCTATACGTATCCGTTCTAGAACGAAAACTTCAACGAAATGTCGCAATTCGGCGGTGGAAAGCCTGGAGGCTGGACACGTCCTGGAACAGGTGGTGAGGGTTTTGTTACTGTTTTAAATTGTTTGGTGTGTAGGTACAGTTTCTTCTCTTCTAGTATGTGAATATTTGGAATGATATTCTGGAACGTTTAATAGATGCTGTTGAGGTTTGCATCAGCAGCTGTTGAAAGCGGAACTATCCTTTCATTCCGTGCATCCAGTTGTCCTGTCCATCTACCATTATTTTCTGCATAGTAGATGAATCACCCATTGGATAATTGTGCTCCTGAGCAAGTGTCACAGCATGCAATATTGTTCGTTGAATTCGTATTTGAGGGATCCTCGGATAGAGACAAAATAAGTTAACGAAGCAACGTGGTTTCTGACGGCTTTAATGGCTTAGTTTATGTCAAGCTCCGATAATTCTGGCTCTCGTTTTTGAGATGATATCCTCTGTGCTTTACAAAAGTTGAAGTAGGCTATTCGTTGAGTGAGTTAAATTTTTAGAATATATACGAAATCATCAAAATAGTCTGGTACTGTTGCAAGTTGTTGAGGTTCCAGCGTGTTTTCCGTCATGTGATGGTTGATGCTCGACACATGCTGAAGCTGTAACTTGCGAATTGGGTCCATAGAAAGTTGTAAATACGTAGGTAGGCATCAGCTCTTGAAGAGCTCTTGAAGAACAGCAATAATTTTCACTAGAAAACCAATTTTTTGTATATTCTTCCAATGACAGTGCCTCCTTTGTTCTTTTAGTTTTCTTTGGTGTACTACGACACTGTCAGGTGATGCTGGATTTGGGCAGGTGTTTAGTTATCTATGATTCTAATTCTTAATCGTCAGTTTTCTTTGTCAGATTACCCTGAACTACCTTTCTGGTGAAAGCTTCATCGTCTAGTAAAAGTAGTCAAACCACCCAACGGCAGCGAGACCAATGTGGGCGGTGCAGTTCATAATGTCAAGTGTTCGTTTAAAATTTCATGAAACCCGGATTGGACCGTCATAGGGAATCCTCTGTAGGCAGTTGTGCTCTATGTGATTTACAAGAGCGAAACAAGTGCTGTCTATTCCTAACCGGGTTTCTGGTCGTTTTGTTGTCTAGTTTTTCGCTGTAGCTAACGGAAATTCATAAGTATTGATAGTGTACGCTTCGGTAATAATCTGTACAGGTCCATGTTGCGTGAGGATTACTGAGGTGTTGCGTCGTTCACACACGAATTATTAAGTGGCTCTTCGCCGTTAAAACTTTTAATTCACAGGAAGTCAAATGCCGGGATTTGGAATGGGTGTTGGTGCCTTTCCTATGATGGGAGTTCAAAGCATGGGCGTTCCGATGGGTATGGTCAATCAGGCTGCATTTGCTCAACAAAATGTGATGGGGATGGGCGTGATGGGTGCTGTACCATCTTCTGCATCCGTTCGAGCTTCAGCTGGACAGGTTTGTAATCCTGTTATTACATATAAATGTGTGCGAATGTATTGTAAGGTCATTGTGACATTAAAACAGTCATTGTACCAATTGTTTCAGTCAAATTCATCGGTTGGTGGTAAGAACCAACGCACTTTTGTCGGCGTAGTCACCAAAATGCACGATAACTATGGATTTGTGGACGATGACGTCTTCTTCCAACATTCGTATGTTCTATCCTCTTTATGTTTTTAAAATTGATGGTGGCTATTTTTCATTTCAGTGTGATTCGTGGTACACTTCCTCGCGTTGGCGAAAAAGTAATGGTTGAAGCGAGCTACAATCCGCAGATGCCATTCAAGTGGAATGCATACCGTATCCAGTTATTGAATTCAGGTGAAAGCGGGCCACCTTCGTCACAAAACCACAATATGGCACGACCGGGCGCAGTTGGTGGTTCAGCCGGTGGAAGGTAATAGTTACAACTAAAGTGTTTGTTGTGTACCTTCATAATCCGAAGTTCCGGCGATATTTTAGAGGTTGTGTTAAAATACACAGATGTTAGCACTGTTGTTGGGTGGTTGACTTATAACTATAACCCGACTTCATAACTCGTACAAGCATCAGGCCATTTTTGTGTTCTGTCCATTCGTAATCGTCGTGTACTCGTAGACCGTTTCTTTCTTGGGAGTCTTTGAGTGCTGTTCTATCTTGGTTATTCTTTTACGTTCATGGTTAAGACGTCAAGAAATTTTCATATTGGTGTGTAACGTTGGTCATTTATGTAAAATTTGATACGGTCCCACAGTGATTATAATGAAACATTTTTAGATGGGGGCCGCCGACATCAGCAGATCGAAATGGTCCATCACATAGGGGTTCTCCACCTCGTCGTCGTTCACCACCCCGTCGCAGTCCTCGTCATGCACCCAGCCCACTTCGTAAAGATGGTCCGCAACGTCGGAAGTATGTGTTTAAGTCCTTAATTTAACTGTAGCTCCTTAAATATGATCTCTTCAATGTTGTAGTTTTATTTTTATAGGTCACCACCAATTAGACGCTCGCCAGCAGCTCGCCGTTCTTCGCCACCAACAAAGTCTGAAAGAAATGAGCGAGACCGTAAACGTGAACGTAGCGCAAATCCTTCTAGTGCGGCTCAGTCTACCAGAAGGGAAAGTAATAGCCCTCCTCGTCGCCGCGCTCGCATAATTCCTCGTTATGAGTGTCATCCACCTCGTCCTGTTCCGTTGAGGTATGTTACTTGGGTATATGCTTTTTCATTTTTGCCTCATATAACTTTTTATCGAACTGAAATTCATACTCTTCAGTGAATTCATGTCGGTTGTTGGTTTACGTACTCGATACTCAAAACTGTACATCCCATCCGATTTTTCGGACATGACTGCGGAGTGGACCAAGAGGGTTCCATTGGATGCTGATATTGACCTCACAAATCCGGTTTGAAAAAGCATAGACGATCGTGCACATGTTAGCTTTTTTTCTCGAAATGTTCTTCATTCAAGGTAGCGTTTCATGTTTGGAATAAAGAAGTTGATTATCCGCTCAGTGATGGAGGAATTGAGGCCGTCCTGGAGCCCGATGACGCAGATCATCGTCATCAAGTTAAGGTATGTTTTTGATGGCATTTTCTCGACATCGCATGTTGGAATGTCTTCGCGATTCTCTATATAGGTGCTTCTGCTAGCACATCCTGGTAGACAAGAGGTCCACAGAAAAGCCTTTGGTCTTCTTCCTGATGGGTCCACTGATGACACATACGAACCTACTTCATTCTTTAAACAACTTAGTTTCCTCGTCGGTAAGTCTGTCACATCAGTATGAAAGAATGCCTTAAGATTTTGGAGATAAAATAGTGTTTGAGGTAATTTTAACTATTTCAGCAATTTTATCAGGTATTGTAACTAGACTTCGTGTTTTGTAGATATGGAGGTCACTCGAGTAGAAAAGTTCGCTTTAAGTTACTAGTTTATTCCTTTGACCTTTGTACGTATGTTATGCAGGGACTCGAGGGAAGGAGCCGTTAGCTATTGGTGGTAGTTGGTCGCCATCAAGAGATGGTGATGACCCTACCAATCCAACAACCATTATTCGCACAGCGATTCGTACAACAAAAGCGCTTACAGGAGTTGATTTATCGAATGTTCCGCAATGGTGGGTGGCGTTTTTGTGTCTTGTCGGTGGCGAATATTCTCTCACAGATTTTGCTCCCTAATGTGCTGTTCTATTTGTTTGCTGCGCCATATTTCGACAACATATCATTAATTTGACATGAGTTCGTAATGGCCACCGATCTCTGTTAATTTCGACTATCCTTGGAGGCGAATGCAGGCGACGCGTAGATGCTTCCCTTCGCATTTCATCGTTGATCCGCGTTTGGCGCTCAATAAGCTTCGGCCTTGAGCGTTTAGGTATGTCTGTGGGCTCTCTGACTCGTTCTATTTCCTACGCAGGTACGAGCTGGTGCACGTGCGCTATTACCGCGCCGATCGTGAACGCACGGATAGCGTGCGTCTACTGTTACCGGACACTCAACTGCTTCTTGACGACAATTCGGACGAGGAACGTTGGACGGCAGTGCAGGCTGCGCTGCAGGCTCAACTCGAAGCGAAGTTGGCTGCAGTCGACACGCCTACACCGGAAGTGGACCAGCTGACAATGGCGGACGACGCCGCCAAGGACAAGGAAAGTCGCGAGCATACTACGCGCCAGGCACTATTTCACTATAGATAACTGTTGTTTGTATGTGCTTGATCATATGTGTGGTTACGTCATGTGTTCGACCCCAACAATTACCCTCCCATTCTTTTTTTTTATACTACGGAACTCGGTATTCCGGTGCTGAAAAAGATAGTCCCTTACTTGGACTCTGTTTGTTTTTAACAAAAATGCCTATCTAACAAACCGTAAAGTAATATCCACCCACCCTTAGGTGTATTGTATAGTTAGATTTTTAAAATTTGTAAAACAGGTGAGCACTTTTTACTGGTATAATGGGACTCATGTAATCAGGAGTTGCCTCATATCATTAGTCCAGGGCATAATACTAGGTTTTTTTTAGGATCAAAGTGAAGTTCTCACTCCAACGAAGGAAGCAGCAGTTGCTGCCGAAGATACACCAGGAAAGGATGGTGATGAAGAGGCAGTAGAGTCTAAAGATGCGCCCACACATTGGAGTAAATTAGATCTTAAGGCGCTCAAGGTGATTGGCGCTTTGCTTTACCGATGACTAATGATCCTGAGTTCCAGTTACTTACTCCTGGTTTTTTTTTGCACTACTTTTTGACCTTCAATAAGGTGTTGTCTAAATGAGAGCAGTTTTGTTCAGGTACCCGAACTACGTGCTGAACTGGAAGCGCGAGGTCTAGAAACAAAGGGTGTGAAGTCGCTGTTGTGTAAAAGACTACAGGAGGCACTTGATCAGGAAAAGGAAAAAGAGGACGGGGATGGAGCTGCTCCTACCGGTGACATTGAAATGACGGACGTAGCCGGTGATGAAGAGGAGTCAGAGGGCAAAGTGGAGGTGTTTGAGTCACCATGTCGTTTTTTTAAATTACTGCTACTGTATGCATTTTGAAATATTCTTTTTTGATTTCGACAGATTTTGATTTTCCAGCAAACTTCAACCGAAAAAAAACTTGCGGAGAAAACTGAAGCTGAGTTAAAGAAGGAGGCCGAAGAGCAAAAGAAGAAGGCTGAAAAAATAGAAAAAGAAAAACAAGAGCGCAAAGCTACACTTGAGAAATATTACACAATGCCAAAAGAGAGAAAAGTAAGGCTAAGACGGATGTTTCCTCTAAAACTAGTGTTTCTCGTTTTAATGTTGTTTGGGAAATATTAGCTACCACTGAAAGGTTGCTAATCATACTAACTCTTTAACTGGGATTCTTTAAAAGTGATTTTGATTGCATTGTTCCTATTTTATTGTTACTGTTACTATTTACATCAGAAATCAATGCAGGGCCAGTTTATGAATTGGAGCTTCAGATATTGGTATACCCCTCAAAGACTGCTAAAGGAGGGAAATTCGATTGTAGAGTTATAAGCATGCAGTCACTTCTCGACTACAGACAGGACGACAACAAAGAGTCTCATTTCGAAGTAAGAACTTATGCAAAGTTTCCTATTGTTAGAGGGCGTTTAGTAAACAAAGACTTGTTGCTTGGATTTTTGCATAATTCATTTTCACGAATTGCGATGTCGGCAAACTCAAGAAATTTTCGAGGCGCCTAAATCAGCACAAGAGGTTTCCGGTCTCTGAAAATGGGAGATCGTGACAGTGAAGGAGGTTCTAGTGGTTTTTGCTGGCGTTAGCATACTCTTAGATAATTCTTCTACTAGAAATATGATTTAGTGTTAGGAATAGAGGTTAATATTTAATCTGACTCGTAAATATTTCTGCATTGTGGGATAAGCCGCTGATTTGTAAAGTGTAACGGGAAGTTTGTAAGCATATCGTATTGATGCAATAAACTGTGCTGCATGAATCTGTCTTGTTCCGTTTATAGGTATCGCTCTTCGTGGAAGCCTTCAAAGAGCTCTTAGAGCGTCATTCAGCTTTCACAATTTACTATGCTATCGCTCGTGCTGCCGACAAAGAAGTTGAACGGAAGAGAAGAGATGAGGCAAGGGAGAAGAAAGACGAAGAGGTTTACATTTCGTTATCACATTCCAATCTGTAAGTTATTTGCCCGTCTACGTTTTATGGCATTTGGTTTTCCAGACAGAAGAAGAACCAAAGGAAGGTGAAGAAGTGGAAGAAAAGAAGGAAGAGAAGAAAGAAAAACTGGAATTGAAGTCAATGGTCTCTAACCGGAACCTTTTCGAATCTTTTGCCATGTTCGATGTCAATTTGTGCGGGTGTGTTACTAGCTATGCATAGGCGACTGTGTATCTTTCATTATTTCTCTGAAGATGAGAAATACTGTTTTGTTTATAGATATTTGAACGAGCGCGATCTTGAGGATATTATTTTCAACAGCGAATTCGGAGTTACTAGGGCTCAAATGCAAAAGTTTTCACACAAGCTAATGTCACGAGAGAGAATCAATTACAGGCAGTTGTTTATTTTCATTTTTAGTTTTGTTGTCCATAGGTAGGTACACTCTTACATCTAAGTAGTGGCGGAGTTCAAAATTTTTTCTTTCATTAAAATAACTAGTTATGTATTACCAATTTTAAAAAATTTTAAAATTAGGTGGAGTCTTTGTAGTTTGATAGAAATAAACATATTGGAGTAGAAATTATTTGGTTTTGACGGTTACGATTTGTAATAGTGACGTCTTAAAAGTTTGTTCAGACACCTAACCGATGTTTTGGTTGACTCTGATGGAAATGTCAGGTTTACGCCTGGTGAATGCGAGAATCCTCCAGACATGTGCTCACTTCTTAAAGGTTTTATTTGTGAATATTCTTCATTTTCATTTCTGTGTTCGTACACTCATAGAACACTTCGTTAAATACGCTTTTAATTTTACTTTTCATGTCTTTAAGTAAAACCAACATTTTGCAAACATGAACCCAGGGATCAGGATGAAATTTAAACGGGCGTCCAGAAATCTGAGGTCAAACTGGGCCAAATAGAACAGAAACCTTTTGATAAGAAACTAACCCACCGCTTTCACATGGTTTTTGGTTGGTACATGAATTGGGACCCACGACCTTACATTGTTGTAGATTGCATGTAGCAGTGGCGTAGAATCAGAACTAGGTTCTGAGTAATATTGCCGTGGTAATGTTTCAAACTAGATTTTCATTCTTGCATTCCACGTTTTTCTCACAAGTTCATAAAATGTGAGCTGCATATTCCTATCTCGGTTGCAGCATATCATATGAGGAAGTGCTTAAAATTGATATTTTTGACCTATCAGGTGAGGTCTCAATTGTCGATATGATTTTGTGATTACTGGATGCGAGATTACCTTTAACATTACACAATACAACAGGGCCAAACTTTAACTCTTGAAATTTGATGATGCATTTCCCAAATCCAGTAGACTTTTTTGTTGAAATAAACCCGTTATAATCTGTAGATTTTTCAGGAGACAAGTTTTGTTTTTAATACTGGTCCCACTGACTTCGAATTCCATCATTAGGAGACTATGATGACAAAAGCTTTATTGATGGCATAATGTGCTACTATAAAGCTATTCAAAAGTCGCCGTTTTGGAGGGATTTTTCTTCTTTTTGCATCGAGTTTTGCGGAAAGAGAAATTTCAATGGGAATTAAACGTTTTCGATTTCTTTTTCAACATTTATGGGTGTTTTGTTTTAGGCTCCGGTTTCCCGGCATCTAAGAATTCACTTGAGCCCCAGATCAATGGCGACGTGCATGTATGTTATGTTGTATCAGGAATAGCTTTTCTTTTCAGCAAGCGGTAGAGTAAACTAGTAATTTTTTTGACTAACAGGTATCTGAAGCTTCGGATGGAACAGTTATCATTAATGGTAACGTGGTTAATGTTGCACAGAAGTTGGCGCTGTTGAAAAAAAGTGAGATAGAACGTGATCACGCCAAAGCATCGTTAGCCGAACAAACTACACTAATAGGTACTTAGCAAAGCAAATCATGATTAGAACTATTAATTAGAAAAATAATTTAGCCAGTCATTTCCAGATCAGCTTCGCGAGATCAAGCATGAACTTGAGAGGAAAAATCGCGACATTGAGAAGGATTTAGATAAACAAAAAAAGCGACTTGATGAAAGCAACAACGCCCTCAAAGTAGGATTCTTGACATAATCTAATGCAAGAAAAAACGGTTTGCGCTATAATAAATGATTTCAGTCATCGTTGGATTCCAACATTGCGCTCAAGTCTGCTCTATCAGATTGTAAGAGATATGCGGATCGTATAATCTCAGCAATTGAACGGACTTTCCCTCCACCTGCTCCAATTAAACAACTCGAAGAAACTAAGGTATGGTACTACATTCATTTGTTATTAGGTTAGCATTGTATTTTGTTTGTTGTAGCCTGCTGTTGATGGTGTAGATGATACTGATGAGCCAATACCTGCAGAAATCGTTTTGACGGAGGAAGTTGGAGCGGAAGAAGATAGTGAAGAAAAGACTGCTTGATTCTGAATCGCTCCTCGTTTATTAATTAATGGTCTCGTTTTTGATTTCTTATTTTGCTCCTATTCGTTTTTAACTGTTTTTCCTGTTAACATCCTTTTCATGGTTTCCCTAGTAGAATTGTATCCGTTTCCATCCTCTATTCCAGTTTCTAATGTTAGTTTGTTGTTACCATATGCTAACAGCAGCACAGCAAGTAGAAGTGTTTTGCACAGAACCATTATCCATGTGGTTTCTCAACTGTTGGTTCCTCTGTTGTTATGTCTAAATGTATGGAATAAAGGATAGCCGTTGTTCAAGCGAACGTTGTCATGGATTTCTTTCCAATGGACGCCATCATTGAAATGTAGGAGTTGAGTCTTAAAGTCCACGATTAGATACAAAAAAACTTTGAACTGAAATGTAGTTGCTTATAGCTTAAGGGTTCTTTCAGCTTTGCAGGATGAGTGTTGGTGCAGTGTATTATGTATAGATAGGATCTCTTCAGTTGTAAAATTAAGATGTTCAGAGAATTCGGGATTTCGTAGGTTCCGTAGGAAATATGCGATCATGGACGGACGGCGACGATCTGTTGTGAGAGGAGGTACTATAGAGATAATAGGATTAAAGGCGAAGCTAGTCAGCATGTTTTGTAAATTGAGTCCGTCATTGCAGAGAAGCGGTTTTATGAATAACTGAGCCTAGCGTGCGGTGATCTAACTGAAGGTTCTACTAGCCTGATGTCGAGGAGTGAAGCAAGTAGAGGGGATACTCTCGAGAACACTTTAGACACTAGCAGGAATTTATTCAGCAACGTCGAAGCGAAACAAGGTTCATTCATATTTTCTACTAATTTCTCGTTCAATTGACATGTTTTCCTCATTTTCACTTAGCCACAAGTAGATATTTGCAGATAATAGATAGGTTAGGTTAAAGCTAAGACGTTGGCTTCTACCTACCTTGTTTATAGATAACAATTAAGCAATAATTGATGATGAGTGCTATATTTTGGGTTCAGAAAGTGATTACATACGACTTGGGGCCACGATTTTATATTTGAATATTTGAACCCATATTATATTTTAAGCAAGCATGGCTAAGCAAAACTATCACTCGCCATCGAGAACATTCTGCTCAATTAATGTATTCATGGAGGATTAATTAACTCGTCAATAAACTGAGTTCCATTAGTATACCGTTAGGCGAACGTCGTTGTCACATCAACCTTTTACTGGCGAAAGGATTTCGCCATAATGGAAACGTAGAATTTCTCTCTGTCACGTGCAAGAGTAATTCAGTGGTTTCTTGTCGCTTTAGGAACTCGTTCATCCGCCTCCTTTCTGTGCGTTTGACATCCCGAGGTATCAAGTCGCTAACCGTTCTTGTCCATCGCTTGCTGTTCGTACGAATTACGTTCTCTTCCTACATTAGTACGTAGATGGGAGCTAAAGATATGTTTCTCCAACGGAGTATACGGAATACTCCTAGAGTTATCCTTTACATTGTGCCTTCTGTAATGCTGAGTGAGCTTTCATCCTGCTTACGCAGCAACCGGGTTTCTGATGCATACGTTAACGCCGGAAGTACCGTTGAGTCGAAAATGTGGGCACGGAGTCGGATGTTCTTTGTTCTCTTCACTACATCCCCGATGCTCTTAAAAGCTCACCAAGCCGCTCGTTTCCTTCTGCTCAACTCTGGAGCTGTCGTTAATTATATTGGTTTGAGCAGCAGAAAGAGAGTATTCATCCCCTAGACCCACCTGTGTATCAGGGAAGCAAAGATCGCTTTGGGTCCGCGATTAATCCCTTATCTGCCACCTTGGGACGTGCCGCGTAGCCTCGCGACTAACCGGCTCGAGACCCCTCTCGAGGGAGATCCGCAGTGGATTCTAATATTGTGCATTATCCATTTCTTTTGCAGGTCTGAGTTTAATGTGTATATTTGAAATTTCATGTTTCCTGAAAACAATGTTATAATGCAACATTTATTGTGTAAATAAGCAGGTAGATCTTATCTGGTCTTATCGTGTCACATCTTATCTTATCACTCTGTTAAGGTATACAGAAAATGCTTCGCTGCGGTGAATGCATTGGTTGTTTTCAAACCGATAACTGCGGTAAGTGCGGTGGCTGCGCGGCGGAATCGTTGTGCTATAGGCGAAAGTGTGTGCAGGAATCTATACTGATGCAGCGACAGAATCGAGGTTTGCTTCACTTTCGATAGTTCATTGCAATTATCTCCAAATGTGAGATAGTGGTTTCACGGTATTTTAACTTTTGAAATCTGCACATTCTTTTTTAATGGCATGGTGCGATGTGAAAACAACCATTAGAATGCTAAAATATGAGCAAAACTCGAAACCTCAACTAGGTTTTGATTCCGCGATTACTTTTACCATTAGCTCACGTGCTGTCCACCATACCAACTGCATACGTTGGCTTTCGCTTTCTGTCAGCCATGTTTCTAGTTTACCGGTGCTACCAGCAACCGTCCGTCATGATCCCGTGAAGGGTAATTTTGAGTTCCAAGCTCAACTGGAGTTTTAATTCTTGCGCATATCTCAGTATTATAATGGTTCTGGTTCACATCGTGCTATGCCTTGAAAATGAATGAGCAAAACATAAACGTTGAAACATTGTGACTTCGACTGCAGCTTCAGCTTAGCTGGATTCATGCCGATTTGTGCTTATGAGACCCTTCCCGTTTACGGGTAGTTGCTGATAGTGCAGAAAAATGGCTGAGAAAGAAGCAAAGCGAAAGCTGCGGTGTGTGTGATACACAGCACGTAAGCCCCTTGTTAGGGTAATTGTGGGATCGAAGTCCATTTGAGGTTCCGAGTTTTGCTCAGATAATGGGTTGGCGAGAGGACAGTTCTGCCGTGTTTTGCTTCTGGAAGATTTCCTTTTAGTCATTAAACACGCTAAGACCGTAAATTGGCACTAACCAATTTCATAACATCTTGATGTGGTGTTAGTTCACATAAAACATGCGTTCTTTAAAAAAAACTGTGGACTTGCAGCAAATTTTCCATAAATAAGAAAGATAAAGTCTTGGCTATGAGTTGTATCGGTGAAATGTGTTCTACTTTTCTATTTGTAGGTTGGTTAACTTATGGATTCGATCTTTACATTTTGTAAATTGGTTGAGAATGATTAAATCTATGAATTAGCTCTGGTCATATGCCTATCAAAGGAGCAAATAGATTGATGGAGTTCAATCCCATATAAGTGAATAACCAGTGCATTTGCTGACTGCTGTAGGTCCTTGCTAACCCACTATTTTTTAATGGCGCTTCATTCTATTACGAATCCGCGGCCACTTTCTTATTACGTGAAAACATCTTCTGGCGAAGAAGATGTGAGAGAACGGGATCCGTTATTGATTAGGTCTAAGTGTCACTTTTTTTGTGATTAGTACTTGATATTGCTTGAATATCTATTTTGCTTTCAAATGCTAGTTCTCGTCGAATTTCTATAGTTGTTATGCATAGTGTGCTGCTTAGTTTTAAAAATTTCCATATTTTGAGGTCTTATAAAGCTCACGAGAACAGCATCTGTAATTCTGAAAGTGGTACAGACTCTGTTTCCCTTTCGTCAGGATATTTAAAACATGCTAACAGTGGTTCAGAACAATTTCGTTTAGCCACTATTGCAACAGGAAGAAAAGGACCAGGTCGACCACGAAGGGAAGAGCCGTCACACTCAAATGTAACATTGCAACCTTATTTGTTAATAGAATAAAAAATTTCAGTAAATCTTTACTATTAGACTTCGGAAAACATGTTTAAAAAATGAACCGGTGAATGAAAATGTTTTCAAGTATATGGTTTCTCCAATTATGAAGATGTGTTAGGTGCATCAGTTACTTCGAAATGCTTATTAAAGAATCTTTTTTTTGGAACGTATACGTGTGCAATTAATTTTTATACTCAGGTGCGGACCGCCGGATATTCCAGCAGTACTGGCGATATAAATGTTTATGGACGGCGTGAGTCTTCCCTTTTCTTATTCTTTGGTCTTTTCTTTTTATCCCTTGTTTGGAACAAGAATTTTGCTTCCAATAGTTTTTGACGAGTAAATTTTTCCAAAAATTCTATGCTCGAATGAATAGTATAAAAACTTTCTGATAAACATTGCATTGCATTCGAAATTTATGTGTATGATAGAGACGAGTGTTTAACTCCCAGTTTAAATGTTCACTCGGACGCTTACGTTCCCATGTGTTTGCATTTATTTCAACGCGCGTGGTTGCGAGAATAAAGGTTACCTTCAACGTCAAAATGGCATAGTTTAGTTTATGATGAAATTTAGGAACTGGAATGAAATAAAATCTACAGGTCGTTTTTAACCACATAAAATTCATCAATATTCTATAAAACTGAAATTCCGATTTTCCGAAGCTTATGAAACCTGTAGTTTTAAACGTATTTGTTTTGTAAGACCCTAGGGGGTTAATCGCCGACCAAAAGCGACCTTGCTTCACTGAGACGCAGGTGGATCCAGGAGATGGACTCCTTGTTTCTGTTGCGTTTATTTGGCACATACTTTCAATATTTACTGGCTGTATTCATGCATGCGTGTGTGGGTAGGTTCTAGTTTATGCGGATTGTATTCCACGAGTTAATTCGGCCAAAAGCCTGCAATCAAGTGACTGGGAAGTATATGGGAGGCGGTTAGGAGTCACGTCCAAAAAATAAGCTCCATGTCCACTGTGGGAGAGCCTGGCAACCTGTATGTGGCTATCAAAGATGCTAAACACAGTTAAAAAAAAACGGGCCTCATTCCCCTGACCCCGAAAGAGCCCCCAATTTCGCAGCGTTGGATAGGACGAGTACAGAGAGGAGAGGCTGCTAAAATCTCAGGGCCAATGGAAGCTGCCTGGATTTCAATGAGCTATGGTGAAGATCTGTACCTATAATGCACGTGCACTTGCATCCGAGTCCTGGATAGAAGACTTGCTCATGCAAACAAGAAGGATAAAGTAAGATGTCATCGGCTTGGCCGAGACGAGAAGACACCAGCCTC